CTTTATCTGTAAAAGGAAATAGTAAACAGTCATTGTGGGAATTGCCAGATTCTGTGTGCATCAATGGCTTAACAGGGCAGGTGTTCAAAAATGTGATTTAAAATGAGCAGCATCACACTTTGCAAACTATTGTGGAATGCAAAACTTGTAATTATTCCTTTGCCCCATGCACTAGATTCCATGACCCATTGAGGGTAAGGATCGAGCTTTATTCATCGTCTTAGCACACAGATGCTAGCACACAGTAGGGGCTGAATAAATGATTGATGGTTAAATAAATGAACTGATGCACTGATGCCCCGGTCCAGGGAGCAGAGCTCTGAAGAGAGGAGAGTTCTAAAGATTGCATCTCCTCTCCAGGTCGCCGTTCTCCCCTCTCTCCATGGAACAACCCTACTCATTTCAGTGAGAAGAAAGGGGGTGTGCAGTGTTCCTGGCGGGAGAAAGGGATTCTCCTGACTTTGGATGACTGGATTCCTGATCTTCAGTGAGAGTCTGATCAGACCCTGAGCATTTATTAAGAGTGATGGTTAATTTTATGTTCGAATTGGCCAGGCCACATTACCCAGATATTTGGTCAAATATATTCTAGATGTTTCTGTGAAGGTATGTTTTAGATGAGATTAACATTTAAATTATTAGATTTTGAGTAGAGCAGATTACCCCCACATATGGGTGGGCCTCATCCAATCAGTTGAAGACCTTAATAGAAAAAGACTGACCACCCCCTACCCCTATGAGAAGAAGGCATTCAGTCATTCAGCCAGCAGATGGCCTTTGGACTCAAACCACTACTCTTTCTGGGGTCTCCAGCCTGTTGGCCCAACCTGCAGATATTGGACTTTGGACTTGCCAGCCTCCACAATCACGTGAGACAATTCCTTAAAATAAATCTCTCTTCCTCTGTGTGTGTGTGTGTTTACACACATCCTATTGATTCTGTTTCTCTGGAGAATCTGGACTAAAACGTCAAGCAGGTGTCACGTGTCTCTGATTGTACCAGGCAGAGTTAAGGATATCACAGTAAAAATAGCACAGAGAGAGCTGAAGGAGGCTTCCAGGATGATCTCACCCAATCCTATCTCTACTCCATGGGCAACTGAGACCCAAAGAGGGCAGGTGTCTGGCTGAGGGTCACATGGCAGGTTAGTGCTGAAGCCAAGAACAGAACTATCTCTAAGACCCTTTATTCAATGTCCTGCCCACAAGATTACATGGACTCTTGGAGTAACGTTAGGTTTAATTATGTTGATGAACCAAAATAAAAATAATACCAGCAGAGGGTCTTATTGAGCACTTTTGTGCCAGGTTCTATACTGAAGGCTTCTGTAAGCTCATTTCATTTAATCTCCTCAGGAATGCTGCAAGGCAGGCATTAGTCGCCCCTTTGACAGATAAGCCAAGAGTGGGAGAGGGAAAGTAATTCCCCTGGGGCAAAGCTGCTGGCTTGTGATGCGGAGGGGACGCAAGCTCTCATTCTGACTCTGAATCTGAGGCTCTACCTGCCCAAGGGACAGGAGGAAAGAGCGGGCTTTGGGGCCAGAGGGGCCTGGCTATGGGAAAGTGATGTGGCTTGTCCCATCAACCCTCATTTCCCCATGATTCGTCTGGCCAGGCAGCTCATTTTGCCATGAAACTCTAGCTTCTGCAAATGTCTCTGCACAGAAAGGCTTATTTTGAAGGGAACACCTGTTCTCTAATCCTTCCAGCTGATGCTGCAATCTGTGTGGATCCCGATGCTATTTGCTAATGCACTGGGCTTCTCGGGGATTTGGAAGCACAGCTCCCAGGGGAAGGGGGAGGAGTGGATTTTATTCTTTGCTTGGCAGCCCTTGCCTGTGGGAAGGCACAGGGTGGGCATGAGGCTCTGAGCCCACATAACTGGATGGTGCCCAAATGGAAAATGCAGGAAAAGAAGCAGATCCTGAAAATAACCCATTGAGCTGAGCTCCGTGAGCAAGTTCACTGCTGAGCACCCACAAATAAGCTATTTTATCTGACTCTTGTAAAAGACAGGGATGTCTTCTTTGACACACATCCCCAAAAATAGCCAAGAAGAGAAATGGAAAAAAACTACTGTATCATGTGCCTGCTATGAGTTTATTTCTGTACTGTTTTTACACGTATTAACTCCTGAAATCCTCTCTAAAATATAGATGTTATTCCATTTTAGAGTTGAAGAACCTGAGTTTCCACAAGGGTGAATAAGTCCCCCCCCCCCCCATAGTATTTAGCATAGCAGGTATTTGAGACCACATTACGACAGTCTCCAAGGTAGAGATTTGCCTAGGTCGTGCTTGGCCTCCTCAGATGCAACAGAATCAGGTGGACTGAAGTGATCTGCGGTGTTGCCTATGCACCCCACCCCACACCAGGTTTGGGGTTTCTGAACAGTCTGTAAGGGCAGCCCTGTTCAACATTCAGATGCCAATGGAGATTCCTATCACTCTCCCACTCTCTTCCATTGGTTTCTGTCTGTTGCCATACAAGGCAAGAAACATTTGTGGGGCTTAGCTCTCTCGTGGCTCAGAGTTCTACATGAACATGACTCACGTACTTGTATCAATCATTCCTTCAACAGACATTCGAGCACTAATTACATGTGCCAGGCATGGTACTGGGCCCTGGGGATGTGGAGCTGAACAAGATGGCCTTTCTCCCCAGCCACTCAGAACCCAGCGGAGGAGAGACAGAGATGCCTAGCCTTGAGTGTGGAGGAAGCATTTGGGAGAGAGAATTTCTCCCTAGGAAACCAGAGAGCACTCACAGAGCTGGGGTCATCTGAATGAGGCATGAGAGGATGCATAGGGAGTCGTGCATCAGAGTTCCTTCAGGGCAGACACCATGTCATAATCATCCTTATACGCTCGTGTGGCATCAGCAAAGGCCCCTGTCTTGGATTAAGTGCTTTGAGTTGATCTACGACCTCTGACATTCCCTAAGACCCCATGCCATATTGCCTGGAAAACAGAGGCTAGGCTGGAGATTTTCAGGTAGGAGATCTACTGCGAAGGCTCTGGGGCCAGAACATATGGAGGAGTAAGAAGCAGGACTCCACAGAGGGAGAGATTGGGCTGTGACGTGGTCACAGCAAAGGCTTCAGTGGACCTACAGGGCAGCTGGAACAGGGATGGGCCTGCAGCAGGGTGTTGAGAGTGATCTAGGGGATGCACATAGCATCCACTAATGATGAAGGGTCTATGCTTGGATGCAGAGGGAGCAGGAGGTCCCTGCCTGCTCTCCCTTCCCAATCCCACGCTGGAACCCTGAAGCCATCCGTGCACATGAGGTAATACAGAAACGCCCAGCTGTGCTGGCTCCCTGCCTTCCGCTCCCTTGTTACTATCTGCTGAGTCCTGTGTCAATGCTTAGGACACTGTTCCTGGAGGCTCAGTGGTTGCCCACGGTCCTATCTCGACAAGTAGCTTGAGTTCACCTTTGAGCACTTTTATTTCGCTCCAAAGTCTGTTCTTTGCTGATCATGGAGCCCCATGCTGGGTTCAGGTCCCCTGTCCCTCTGGAGGGTCTAGCAGCTCTCTTCTTAGCTCTTCCAATGAGAACCTGTGACACAGCGCTTGGACCAGATGGAGACATGACCTGGGCAGCTTGCATAGCCAGGCCTCCTGGCTGGGGCTCAGAGCTGGGAAAGGTGACGTCACAGGAGAGCAAGCTGAGTGCAGAATATGCTGATATGCTGACCATCTGAGCATGGAGCATGGCTGCACAGGAGGACAGAGTACGTCTTTTTGGGGGTGACTGAGCGTGAACAGACTTTCACACTTATACTGTGAGATGTCAGATGGTTAATTTCTGTGTGCTAACTTGACTGGGCCATGGGGCGCCCAGATATTAGTTAAACATGATTCTGGGTGTGTCTGTGAGGGTGTTTCTGGATGAGGTTAACCTCTGAATTAGTAGACTGGGTCCAGCAGATCGGCCTCCCCAGAGTGGGTGGGCATCACCCAATCTATTGAAGGTCTGAGTAGAACAAAAAGAATGAGTGAGAGAGAATTTTCCCTCTGCTTGTCTTCGAGCTGGGACATCAGTTTTCTTTTGCCTTAAAGCTCAGACTCAGACTGCAACTTACTCCATTGGCTCTCCCAGGGCTCCAGCTTGCAGATAGCAGATTGTGGGACTTCTCAGCCTCCATAATTGCATGACATAATTCCTTATAATAAATCTCTTTATATATATATACATATCCTACATATATATATATATATATCTCCTATATCTATCTATCTATTATCTATCTATCGATCAATCAATTGTACGTCTCCTATTGGTTCTGTTTCCCGGGAGAACCCAGACTAATCCAGGCTGGTTATCTTTGAGCAGACCCCTAATAAAAACAGTCATGCATTGGCTCAGGAGAAATATGGGCTAAGCATGCTGTGTGTGACCAAAGCCCTGTGGATCATAGAAGAGTAGCAGGTGTTTCTTGGGAAGAAGGAACAAGGAGAAGGACAGGATGTGCATATTTATTGAGCACCTACTGAGTACCAGGTACTGGACTTGGAAGTTTATATTCATTGCAGCATTTCCTGACACATACTACCCCAAGAAGTCATTAAGTATTAGTGACCCCACTCTAGAGGTGGGAAAACTGAGGCTTAGAGAAGTGAGCAAATGAGAGATGAAGCCAGTTTTGAAAGCAGCTCAATTTCAAGAGGCTTTCAAGGTTGCCACAGGGTCCCAGGGAAGCCCATCACAACATGCACCATGAGCTTCAGAGAATCATATTCTTCAAGGGGACCACACAGAAGAGATGCCATATGAAGACCCTATTCCCTGAGTCTACCCCAGGGCCTAGCATTAGGAATATGTTTGATAAATATAGCAGTGATTAAAAGAAAGAATGGGTGGATATATGAGAGGAGGGGACACACAAAGCAAAGAATCTCTAAATGAAGTGAAGAAGTGAAAAACTCATAGAACACACACACCCTGCAAAGTGAAGTTTACAAGTCTTGGGGCTACTGACCCCGTGCAGACATTACCTCTGAGGAAGCCGGCTTGCAGTATCCAGCTCCAAAGACCAGGTTCTCCAGAGAAAGGCTAGATGGTTCTGGTCCTGTGTCTGGGCCAGCTTTACCAAGCCAGGAGCCTCTTCCGGGACGAGTAAAACTGAAAAGAAGAGAATTGAAAAGGGAGAAAAAGAATGTAAAGAAACTGATGGTGTCATCAACTCAGTCCCCTGGGTGGTATTATTGGGGAGCCTATGAGACAAGTCGTTTCGAATAGGTGGTTCACTCCTGAAGGGGTGCTGGGAAGGGACATTTTTGGATGCTGCCATGACAAGGGGCTGCAACTGGTATATGAGCTTGAGAGCCAAAGATGACTCATATCCTACTATGTATACAAAGAAATGTCCCCTAAAGGCCAACAACATGCCCGCTGAGAGACACTGAGGCAGAGCTCCAAAGTTCCATAACTGGAGGGGCAGGTAGAACAGGCTTCTGGCCAGAAGGACAAGAGGACACTCCATCTGACCTCGTCTGAGTCCTGCCTCTACACCTTTTGGTGGCACAACCTGGAGTGAGCTCCTTCAAGCCCTGTGCCCTCCCTGAGCCTCCGTGAGATTCAAAGTCTCTGATGCAAAGAGGATCTTGACAATAAATAGCCTCAGGTGGCATCATCTCCATCACAGGAGCTCAAGAAATATTTGTGGAAGAATTTAATCCAAACACCCACATTCCTGCTTAAAATATTGACAGGGGAATAAAGCTAATATTATATTTCTGTTTAATTCAATTATTCAAATATTTACTAGGCTCACGCCACTTGCCAGGAAAGGTGTTAGGTGATAGGATGGCAAGATGATTAAGGCATGACCCTCACCTCAAAGACATTTGGTCTAGAGTGGGAGGCAGATATAATATGACGGAGGTAAACTCAGGCCAGTGAGCACAGATGAGTAGATTATAAGCCAAACTCGGTGAAAAGGATGAATAGTTAGAGATGATGCTCATGTAGAGTACGGCCAATTGGTTAAGAGGCAGCCAATGAAGCAAGTCTGTCAGGGTTCAAACCCCATCAGCAGTGACTATAAGCTCTGTGACGTGGGGAAAGTTATTTAATCTTTTGGTGCCTCTGTTTCCTCACATGTTTAAAGGGTTGAAATGAGCACTTTAAACATGGGGTTGTTGTAAGGATTCCAGGATTCCATGAGACTAGCTACATACAACTTTAAGTATGGTGTCTGGCAAATAGCAAAGATGCAATAAATGCTAGCAGTTCTCATCAATAATACCACAAACAATAAAATCTAATATAATCATTATTACATTTATAAAGCTATTGTTGATAACCACAAATATAATCAAGTATAATATAATGATTACTCGGATTTGTTTCAAATTGAGATCTGGAGCAAGTCTACAGTTTAGCTAGAAGAATGGATCAAAGGAACATAGCAGAAGAAAAAGAGAATACGTATATAAGCAGTGATGTTCAGGCCACATGCAGGGGACAGACTACAAATTAATAACTAGAATAACTCATTATTTAACTTCAGTGTGGCCTTGATTAGCTTTTCCAGTGGATCTGAACCCCACAAGTAGAATCCAACTGTACCCATTTGAGGGTTAAAAATTGGATTCTTTTCTTCAGTCTGTCTCAGGGAGAGTGAAGGGTCTTTTGAGGTTAAATTTTAATTTCACACCTGCTTCTTCCTGATGGGGTTGAACTGATGCTATGAAAACTGCTTTCCTGGAAAAACTAGAGCCTGCCCAGTTTGACGGTATTTCCCAGACCTTTAACGGCTCCCTTTGACCCCAGCCACTGTGAGCTAACTGATAGAATTCTTCCCTCAGAATCCAGAGAACAAAAGGCGTCCTGTTTCTACCCCCATCCCCAGAGAAGCCAAAGTTCTCAGTGGATTTCTATCTGTGCTCATCTCCAGCAAGGTTGCTACAGACAAATTTGCAAGGACTTGTTTCTGCCAGGAGGTTAAACTTTCTCCTAAGAGTTTCCAGATCCCAAATCCTCATTAGAATAGCATCAGGGCTCCCAGAAGCAAAAGCAGAGGAACCTGCTTTCACTGCCATTTCAGTCGATGCAAACACTTCTCATCTCTGAGCAGGACGGTGGCCGTCTCCTCCTGACTAGTCCTCCTGCCTCCACCCTGATGTCACCTCCAGCCTGACACACTCACAGGGGCTGCAGAGATCTTTACAAAACAGGGTCTGACCAGGTGATTCTCCTGCTCAAAACCTTCAGTGCTTCCTTCTTGTACAATAAACGGAGTCTCAATTCCTTAATGTGCCATTAATTGCACTGCTAAATATGGCTCCCCTTTACCCTCCCAAGTTTACTTTTCACCGTCACAGTCTCTTATGCACTGGGTCCAGCTCAAAGGCCATTTCTTCTCTAAAGTCCTCCCTGATTTCTCTTAAGCAGAGCTGCCTCTTCCCCATGCTAAAATTTATCCACCGTTTAATAAGAGCTTGTTATGTGCTAGACACAGGCCTAGGTCAGAGCCTGGAATATGGTAGGTGCTAAATAAATATTAACCAACTGAATGCATGCCTCAGGGTGCTACATGTACTATCTCATTTAATTCTTCTAACAGCCTTCTGGTGTGTCGTGAAACTGAAGCTCAGAAAGCGTAAGTCACATGCTCCAGCTGACGGGCTTAAGAAGCAGGGGACTCAGAATGCAACCCGCATCCGTCCCATCTCAAAGCCCACGCTTTTAACCCCAGCCCTACATCGTATTCCCATGATACTTTGCACACTGAATTAGAGTTCACTGCTTATGCATATTTCTGCCCTGCCAGGCTTGGAGTGTTTTAAGGTCCCAGATTGGATCAATTTATCTCAGAGCTTTCTGGTTTGGCCTGTCTAGGAGAAGTGGCTAAAGCTTAGTGACGCCCACCACTAACCAAGCACCTATTCACCATGTGCGACGTAGATGGTGTGCGTCATCTCATTGAATCCTTTCATCACCTCTGTTGGTTTAGTATTTCCACCCATTTTAAAAAATTTCTCTCTGTCTCTGTCTACCTAGCTATTTATTATTTCAATGTTGAAGCAGATGTTTAGAGAAGTTAGGTGACTCATGCAAGGATCCCAGAAATTACATGGTGGGTCTAGACAGTAAGAGGGTCCTGACTCCAGCTGATGCTGAACAATTCAGACTCAGGGCCCCAGAGCCGCCTGCAGGGAGCTCTGCTTTTCCTACCCGGGGTCTTGCCTCACCTTCCGCAGCCAAGAGCCAGTACTCCCAGGACGCAGCCTCAGGCCATCAGCCCTGCCTCACTGACGGCAGACAGATCATGTCCTTAACTCTGCACCGAGGCCACTTTTGGCCAAGCCTCAGGGTGAGCTCACAGCCAGGGAACGTCCTTCACAGGATCATGAGACCCTCTGCTGCTTTCTGGATTCTATGTCCTGCAGCTTCTGACTTCAGGGCTGCTTTCCTTTGATTCTATATCTTTGATTCTTGTAACAGTTTCTATCAAACTCTAGGACAGCATTTGCCACTTCATAATTCCACATATGTAGATTGGCCACCCCACTCAGATGGGGACTCCTTGAGGGAAAGTCTATCTCAGTCGATTTAGATCCCACAGTGGGTTCTACTGTGTGCATCCTAGCACCATTCCTGGGGCACAGAAGGCCCTCAGTAAAGACCCACTGAGTGAAAGAATCATGAATGGCCCCAAGGTCTCCCTGACACAGTGTCTGCTTTCTTTTAGGGCCCAGTTTCCATCAAGAAGCTCAATACAGTTTTGGGCAGGAAGATGTCCAAACTTCTCAGCGGGGCACCAAAGGCCTTGGACTCTCTGGTCCCAACCCATGTCTCCAGGCCGGGTGATGGTCCTCACCAGCTCTCTCCACCCTGTCTTCTGATGCCCTTGGCTCCTTTCACACACTCTCAGTTAACACTCCCACACGGTTTCCTTCTGTCAAAATGCAACACTGCTCAAGACCTACCCGAGTGCAATGTCCCTTTTTCTCTCATCTCACCTTGCCCTTGAGCCAAACTGAGTCTTTATCTCTGGGTGACACTTCTCGGTTTGGGGATTATGACTAGTTTGCTACATATCCGTCACCTCTATCACCCGAGGTCAGTATATGAAATGGCCCCATTAGCAAGCAGATCCCAGGATGGGACCAGAAAATGGCACGGGGATGGGGTTAAGGCCTCCAGGAGCAGCACCTCCTAGTCACATCACGTGGCCAAGATCGAGGTATCTCATTCCTACTCACTCTCCAGTAAGCAATTGGGACAGCAAAGGCCCTGCCCAACAATCAGTGGGGAGTGGAGTCTCCTCTACACGCATTTCAACTCCCAGCTCTGATTAGCTGTCCTGAGTAGGGACATTAGGAAAGTTCCCTTCCCAAAGCTCCATGTTGCAAGATTCTGTCCCTAAACATCCCTTTTCACACATGCAACTTATGCCCATGTGCAAGTGGGAGGTTTTGAAGTGATTAGAAGTACATATCTGGCCATGCTGGATGTCTGAGGATGCCCAGGCACGGTACAATGTGCTAACTGTTGTCAGCTCTGTCCCTCCATTTACAGAATCCATAAAACCTCAGTGCTTCGTGGGGCCTTGGAGATGCTCTGGGACAATTCACCGAAGGGGAGAGCACAGGGCCATGCAGGTGGTCCTGCACTGGAACGAATAGCAAGCTGGGGAGAGGAGAGAAAACGGAGGTGGTATAGAACACCTGGCCACTGTCCTCATGTGAGATTCACTAAACCTTACGTAGACAGGATACATTAGCACTCCGGTTTTCGAGATGAAGATTGTGTGTCTCAGGGATGATAGGTGACTTCTCAAATAAGGCACAGTCAGAAAGAAGCAAGGACACGTGTAGAATCGTCTTCAGGTCTGACCGTAGTTAGTAGTTCAGCCTCAAGGCTCCCTGCCAGCATCCCCTTGAGTCTTGATGCTCTCTCCACACCCCCGCCCACCTCTCCCCTGCCCCTCAGTGAGGCCCAGAGCCTAAACCTTCAGCCTGAGAGAAGCTCCTCTGGTCTGTTCTGGTAAATCGTGATCAACTTCGGTCCTCTCAGCTTCACCCTAAATGGAAATGCACCCCAAGGCTCATAACCTCATACCTGATCAGAGGCTGCTGCAGAGCCACCAGGGCAGCGTGGATGGTCACCGAGATCACTGACAGGTGAAAATAGTCGAACATGACGGGGACCTGGTGGTGCAGACCTTTCCGAGGGTGGAAGTGCAAGCATAGCGTGCGGCTGCTGATCATGGGTGCCCCGGCCACGTCCCTCAGCCTGGAAGGCAAGAGAGTGAGCTCACGTGAGTGACGGTGGCTGTCCCTGCTGTCATCCAGGCAGGTCTACATCACACCCTCATCCATGTACAACCACCATGCACAAATCATCTTATTCAATCACTGCAAATACACTGCCAGGTAGAAATCGCTTTTCCTGTGATTGGCAGATGAAGAAACTGAGGCTTGGAGAGGAAAAAGAGCTCACAAGACGTCATACAGCTGCTATGCAGCAGATCTGGGACTTGGGTTCTGCTGACAGTGACACCAAACCTGGCCACAAGTGATAGAAAGATGCCCAGACTCTTTTCCAGGCTCACTTCAACCCTGAAGTCCCTCTGGTCCTCCTTCCCTACCTGCTCATGCATTTCCCCCACAGATGTCCAGCATTGCATTTCCTTTGTATGTCTGTGTTTTCTATCAGATTCCGACCTCTTACAGGCAGGGACTGTGACCAATTCTTCTTGATATCCCCAACACATAGCATATAACCTGACATACTGTAGAGGTTGGCCAAACGTTTGCTTATTAAAAGGAATCATTGAGTGACTGAATGATTTCCAAAGCATGATGATTAAGTAGTCTGACCAGCTTTATCAAGGACACCCTCTTTGCTCTAGCATTTTGTAACTGGTATGTGCTGGATTCCTAAGAGATAAACCAAGTGGTAGGCAAGGCCCAACTGAGTCTTTGGTTATAAAAATGGGGTCAATTCTTCTCTAAATAAAAGCCATCCTGTGCTAATCTCCATCTCTGTAAACCAATCACTTAGGCTCTCAAGGTGTCTATGAACCAGGGCTCTTAGGAAACCTGGAGGGAGCATCTTCCATGAGTAGAGGAGAGAGCTCAGAGAATGTTCAGAGGAGAAGCTTGTCCTTCTTCCACAGATGAGGCACTGAGACACTGAGAGGGGAAGGTGAGGACAGCAGATGCCCAAGACCCAGCCTACACGCTTTGCTTCCTGGAATCCTTGTTGCTTAGAGCTTGTGTGCAAATGCCACGTAAAAGAGCTGACTAATTCATTGAAGCCCAGTGTGACTCCATTAATAGGCCACAAATAATGGTTTCCTATCATACCAGGAGGAAACCTGATGGGGAGGGGGCACAGAGTACCCCCCTGAGTCTCAGAAAGTCATTAACATTCACATTCATTTTAATTCTGACAACAGTTTATTGAGGCCTTACTATGAACTGAACATGGTGCTTTTTCCCCTAATCCATATGACAATCATATGAAGTATTAACTTGTATTACTCCATTTGTAGATGAGGAAGTAAAGCCAACATGAGTTAAGTGACTCGTTCAAAGTCACAAGGCAAAACTGAAATGCTAGACCCAGGTCTGTCCAACTCCATGGTCTGCTCTGCATTGCTGCACATTATTGCTTTGAATCTATTCAGACACAGGTTCATACGAATCACCCTTAGGGCTTGAACAATAGCAGGTGAAATACTTGTCAGGGTAGCAAAGATGTCAGAAATGTTAATAAGAATTTAAGCCACATTAATAGGAGTAAAGAATTCAGAATGAGGGAGGTGATAGCTCTTTTGTGTTCTAAAATGGATAGAGTCAGTTAATGGAGATAAAACTCAGTTCTTGGGGGGGGGGGTCTCAATTCAGACAAGACAGAGACAAACTGGGTAGCATTGAGAGGAGAATGCTTGGGTTCTTATAAAGGAACTAAAAAAAATAAAATAAACAAACAAAAAACACAAATAGCCTGATGTTCAATTGGAGATGAAGAGATTGCTTAAGAAGTCTCATTTTTCTGAATTGCCATGCAGATGGAGGATTTTTCTAGGTAGTTGTGAGGACTAAAATTGAGGACAACTGAGGGAAGGCACACAGGGATGACTTTCTCCTTGAAGTAAAGAATTTCCAGATAAGCAGAGCTGTCCAGGGACAGAATGGGATACGACGGGAAGGGGGGAGCTCCCTGTCCCTGTGAAAACATATGCTCACAGGCCTTTGTAGACTCGCAAGACTTTGCAGACTGTGAATTTAGACTAGAGCAGGGTTTCTCACCCTCAGTAATGTTGACTTTTGGGGACTGAATAATGCTTTTTTGAGAGAGGAGCTGCCCTGTACACTAGAGGATGTTTAGCAGCTCCCCTGGACTCAAACCACCAGATGCCAGGAGCATCTTCCCCACAAACAACATTTCCAGACGTGGCCAAATGGCCCTGGGGATAGAACTGCCCGACTCGAGTGAGAATCCCTGGAGGAGATGGACACCGAGAGACCCCGTCCCCGATATTAGATACCATGCTTTTCCGTTGAGTTCTTGCTCAGGCCTACCTGGTTCTAAAGAAGCCGACTGCATGGGTCATGTTTCAAAGCCTAATGTTTACCCCCAGGATGTGCTACAGATGCCTTATCATCCTTTAACCCAATTAATGAAAATGAAAATATATGGCATTTTCAATTCTCCCCCAGCCTCGGGCTTCCTGTTCCTCTTAGCTAATCTTATACTCCATGAAAACCCCCTGCTCTGATTGTTATTAAGTGCTTGTATTAGAGAGAGGAAGTGATACATGGAAGCCTGGCCCCACTTGCATCTACGATGTCACAAAAAGGAAGAAGACATTGAGTCAGCTAGCCACGCACTTGGCCTGGTATGTATACCGTCTCTCTTAATCTTCCTAACAGAGCTATGAGATAGGGATTCTATAATGATGTCCATTTTATAAATGAGGCTACTGAGATTTTAAAAAGTGCAAGGACTTGCCCAGTGTAGTGTCTCATAGTTGATGAGCAAAATGCCTAAGTTGCTGAATTTTATACACTTTGTTTGGACCCATCTCCGGTACATAGGTTCTCTACTAACGACTGTTTTGATGGCAAGAAGGTCTCATTTCCTGTGTCCATCATGACTTATAATTAAGACTGCCTGCAGGGCTGGGTGGAGAATGACTTCTAGGCTCATTTTGGAATCAATGGCAGGAGTCTGTGATCAGCTGGAAATGTCTAACATTGAGCTAAGAATGAATGTCTCTGAAGGAAGTCAGTATAGGAAGATAGGGCAGGGATGAGTTGATGAAATAAGTGAATGACAGAAATCCCAGACAGTTGAGGGGCAATATGGACTTCTGGGTTTATAGATTAGGAAGAAGGCCAGCCTCTTGCAGGGCCTCTGAGTTCAATATGGTGTTAGACCAGCAAGTCTTGGGGATGGTGTAAGGAAGATAAGATTTCTCAAGCATTCATCATTCCAACAAGGGGTAAGTAGAAGTGATGAGAGAAGCAGGTGGCCAGAGGGGCTTGGAGTCCGGATAAAGACAAGAGTGAGGAAACTGTGATGTTGAGCCCGGACTCTGTGGCAAGACCATGGAGAGATAATCCTACTAGTCCAGAGACTAGACATGGCCATCTACACAACAGCAGATGTTCATTCTCAATGCACACACACGATCAGGTCTCTGACATTTCAGTAGTGGTCCATCTATGGTCCAGATGTCTTCTGATTCAACTCCACATGTTATGAAAACTCCCATAAGGAGTTTCCCCTTGAGAAGGAGGAGAAAGTTCTGATAGGGAGATTGAACTCTGAAAGGATTGGAGGACCCTTCTGCTAGCATTAGCCCATATGCCACCAGATCCCCTATTCTCCATAGGAGAAGGTGAAGCATTTGCTGAAGAGATTGTAGAAATGAGAAGCAAGGATTAATTTGCGGAAAGTGTCAGGGTGTACTGAGATTCTGCTAATAGAATAGAGGGAAAAGAAGAGCCCTCATCTTCACCTTAAGCCTAATGAGAGGGAGTCTTCAAGTACGCTTGCCCTGTGTTCCCCAGAACTGGAGAAACACAGATCCTGGTGCCTGACTCATCCTGAAAAGGTCCTCAGGGGAGAAGCTGAGGGTGGCTGGATTGGCTAAAGGAAGAGTGACCAGCATTGTGCATGTACTGGGGAGTCCCAACCAGTGCCTGTGTCCATTACCTAAGAGCCAGATGTGGGTTCTTTAGAGGAGAATCTGCAAAAAGAGCTTCCTACAAGGTGTGACGACTCAACCATAGGAGACATCATTTATATCAAAGAACTGCAGGCGCTCTTTGCAGGGAGCAATTGGTGCGCTGCTTAATAGGTATATCTCCAAGAATTGCAAATGAACACCCCAAGAGCAAAGAAAGCAGTGATTCAGCATCTACCAGATGAAGAGCTCTGCTTGCAACTGAACCGTCAGATATGACTTCCTGCCTCTTCTGCGATCTCCTCCCTCCTGACGCTGCAAGGCCCACAAACCCCAGAGGGCAAGGAGGCAGGAAAAAAAATATGAAGCTGCCAACCATACCCTGCTACTGCGCTGGGAGTTTCCTACTCTGAGAAAGCCTGGGGTAGGGTGAAGAAAGGGGCAATGGCAAGGAAAGGAAGTTATCAATTGGATAAGAGTTTAGAGTTTTGGTAATAACCTTGGCTGCACTTTTTAATACCTGATAAGAGGGCTACTTATTTATTACCTGAAAGAACCTGGGGAGGCTCTGTGACATGACAGTTCACCCCAGGGTAGGAGGAAGAGGCCATGGAAAAAGCTTAAAGGAAGTAGTTATGAGAAAGAGGAGAGTCACCTCCGGCTTATTTAATCAGCAGGTTACACATAAATGGATTTTCAATTTTCAGAGAGTTGAAACACAATAGCAGATATTTAGTACAAAGATACAGAATCCTGGCAAAATTTCCTTTGGTTTAGAAGGGGTCTTGAGGTTTGCAGCCTCATAGCGTCATTAATTAAAGACCTAATTAATACTTCTTGAAGATGTACGGAGGTGTCAGATATGAGAAGGTGCCAGGAAGTCAGGAGATGTCTGTACATGCAGCATCTGAGCCACCTGCCTAAAATACATGGGGTTTGAAACCACATAGACATTCCTAGCCCACATTCCTGGGTAGGCTGTCATGTGGAGGGGCACTGCAGCTGATCAGGAGCTGGATTTCTGAGAGACGCTCTGAGGTTCGTGGCCATGAGGATACTCCAGGCATTGGGAAGGGTTGGAGGGACAAAACCACACTAGCACAGTCTGAGGATTTCCAGGACACTCACTGCTGTTCGCTGTCCGTAAAGTGCAGGTCCACCTTGAGCTGAAAATCGACTTCACTTAGTGTTTCTTCCACCTACAAGAGAAACAAAGTTCAAGGGATTTCAGAAGTCCAGTCTGGTCCAAATGAAAACTGTAGCTGGTCTATTTCCCGAAGTTTAGAAAAAGAATCTCCCCACAATTAATGCCATCTGTGCTTAAAGCAGAATTTCCATGCATGTTCTATGGAATTCTGGTTGAAGAGGATATCTGTGAGTACTACAAGGAAAACAGAAGGAAAAGATTTATGTAGTCCAATTGGGGAAAAGGCCAATTTTCAAAAGACGTTAAACAAGTTTTCTATATTGCAGGACTTTGGAGAAACTTATTCCTTAAACAGATTTGATCTGGAATCCTCTAAGCAGAAATTCTCACAGCAGCTGCTTCGGGAAGAGTGGAACAGTGAACCTGCCTAGAGGGATGGGATAATGTGGGAGGTGATGTTATCTCTGCCCTTGCATGGCGGGTGCTATTCCCGGTTCACAGAGGAGGAAGCTGATGCTCAGGAAAGTGAAGTCACTTCCCAAGGTGGCTCAGCTTCAAAAGAAAGTAGATCCTTCATTATTGTCTTGAGAGCCATTACATTTAACCATTTATGCTTTAAGACACTTTAGCATTTCACGTCCTATTGATGGCTGCTTCCATTCTTAGCTTTCAAAATAAACTGTTTGCGTTAATTAGCAAAGGAATCTATTTGTTCTACCTGATAGCTTCTCAAACACATCTCAAAGATGGTACCCCTTGTTCTGCACCCAGCAACACACACACACTAAACACCATAAACCCCAACCTCCAGGGGAATTGTTTGCTAAATTCCAGATCTCCTCATCGCCACTCCTGCTCAGTGGGAAACCCCAGTTAAGTCCTGTGACAGGACTTGGTCTCCTCCCGACTCCCAGCCTGGACAGACCCCTTCTCCTCTGTAACCCACAAAACTCTGTTTCTTTTTTCTATGTTAGCATTCGCCGCTTCCTATAAAATTGTTTCAGATTTATAACCCAGAAGCCCAGAAGCCAACTAGTATCTGCAGACACTTTTTGCTTAGTCCTCGTAGTATTTTGCAAAATGTTTCGAACAAGTTGCAAACATTTAAAAATCAGGCAATTTCACATTTCTAGTGCAGGTTTCCAGCTTCTGTAAAAACAATCCCTGGATCTGGCTGTGCTGGGCTGGCATTTTGAAGCTCCATTTGGATCAGACTACAGCATTTGCTGACAATACCCGTGTGGCCTGTGGCTAACATCCCTGGCCATTTATCCCAAGCTCCAGGAATAGTACCTGCCACATAGAAAGTATTAATGTATCTTGAGGAATAAATAAAGCTCTTCTCCACCCCCACCTTTTTCGGGTTTTGTTTATTTGCAAGAATGCCCCCATCCTGCAGGGATGGAAATCTCTTACCCAAAGACCTCTTTGGAACCACGTTCCTGGTTAAGCATAACTCAGGCAGAGACATACGGATGGAATTTTTCTTCAGGTCCCTAGTGTTTCAAAATTTGTTGTGTAAAAATTTAAAAAAAGCATTTAAAAGTTAACATTTTGCTGAATCCAAGTGCTGTGAATAACTTCCTCTCCTAGATTTGTTTTGCATAATCACAAACCCCACTTTGTACACACACCAAAGCAACACAGCCTCTTGCCACCAGTCCCTGGGAAGTGAGACTGACAGAGTAAACCCTCCTAACCACCTTCTGAGCATGTATTTGCCTGGCTAAGGAAAATTCACTGTAAACTCAAGATTTACACTTGCTGCAATTGCTTTGGAACTAGGAGAGAAATGCTGGGCCAGGATGAGCTGTGGCTAGATTGAGCCTGGCTATGACTTCACCAATGCCTCAATAAATCTTTAATTGCAAGATGCTCCAGAAGGAAGACACTGGCTTTTCTAATCATTCATTTCATCCTTGGCTCTTGGTTACTTGCCCCTCCCCCAGACACACATGCACATGTACACAGTCATGTGTGCACACACACATGCACACGTGCCCTTCCATTGCCCTGTCTTATCTTGGTTAAAGGCACCATCTCCTATCAAGGGTCATATTTTAGCACTAGGAAGCAGTTTTGTGTAGTAGCAGAAACAATAACAGAAGGTAGTGTTGACACAGGAGTTACTATATAGCAGACACTGAGCTAACACTGTTCGTATACTATTTTATCTAATGTGGATAAAACCATGAATTAAGAAATAGTTTCCTCATTTGAAAATGAGGAAATTGAGGGTTAGTGTGGTAAAGTTACTTTCCCAAGCTCAACTAGTTGAGTCCTATAGCTCGGATTCCGTCAAGGATTCCTCCACTTCTTCAGCCTTTTCCCATGGTCTAATCTGTGATGTAGGTTGAACATTCTCTCGCTAACTGGTTTCAATTTTACTTATAATTATGACTCTCATATCTTCTCCTTTAACTTCTCTCCCGAGTTCCATCACAGCTGATGGGAAGAAGGCAGCTTTGGAAGGCAAGCTATGTGAGTGCGAGGCTTGGCTCTACAACTTAGTATCTGTGCAACCTCTCTATGCTTGTTTTCTCATCTGAATGAGGGCAAAATAATTAAACTTACGCCTTAGATAGCACTGCTATCATGTGACTAAATAGAAAATGCACATAAAGGGCCTAACACAGCATGTGAACAAAGACCATTCTCAACAAGTCTAAGTTATTGCTCTTGTTATTTCCAACGTACTATGGGCCAAGCCACCTACAGGACCTCTTCCTCCACCAACGCCACATAGCAGCCCTACACACTGGTCACAGACACAGGTTTTGTGGTCAGACTGCCTGGGTTCGAATCTCAGCTCCACAACTTCCTAGTTGTGCGACTTTGGACAAATTACTTAACTTCTCTAAATCTCTGTATCCCCACCTGTAAAACAGAAATAAGACATATCACAGTACTATTGTGATGATTCAATGAGACCTTCCAAGCAAAGGACTCAGCACAATGCCTACCACACAAAATACTCCTAATAAATATAAGATGCTATTAGTGTTAAGATAATGAGATTGTTACTCTAACTCAACGTCAATTTCTATCACTCCTCAACAGAAACATTTCTTATCCCAACCATCCTGGACTACCAATGGCATCTCCAAGCCCCTTTCATGCCCAGATCTTAGAAGTTTAACCATTTAACTTTTTTGACTACAGGATGTCCTCCATCCCCTATGCTTTACCTGAACCCAGTTCTATGGGCTGCCCTTGGCTGTAATGCAGCCCACTCTTTCCATCCATCTCCACCGTTGCTACCTCAGCCATGGCGCTCACCAGCATTCACATAGACTATGGCAGCTACCTCTGAGCCCTGGGCCCCATTTTTCAAATTTATGCCCAACTGACCTTTCTAAATGCTACTTCTCCTCCTCCCAACTCCTGAAGGAGCCTCCTGCCTTCAGAACAACGTAAACATACAGCCTTAGCAGGGGCTCTGTGGCTCCCCATGTTGTGTCCTCAACTTCCTTTCTAGCCTTGCATGTGTGCCACCTCCTATCCCACTGAAAACAATGCTTTCTTCCCAAATCTGCCTTCTACTTTATTCCTTTTCAACGTCCTTGCTATCTTCTGTCTCAAAATATCTTAACTGCCTCTGTTGGAAATCTCACCCATTTCTACTTATCAAAACTCTCAATCAACTCACCCTCCCCACCATCAAAAACAAAACAAAAAGCCCTCTGCCTGACTCACTAGGTCTGGGATGGGCTCAAGAATCTGCATTTTGAACAAGTACTGCCCGAGGGCTGTGATGTGGTACACTAAGGAATCACACTTTGAGAAATGCTTTTCCTTTCTAAACCTATAAAAATGTAACCTTGTTCACAAAGAGTTTTTGATCTAATCTGTTCCTCCTCAGAGCACGAAGCATTGTGTTGTTAATAACTGTATCTTCCTTGCTGTGGCTGCTGGGAAGCTCAGCACTTCACGTGTGGGCCACCATCAGCACGCATCGAGCACTGTTTCTGCGTTGTAATCTGTTACATTTATCCTAAGCTTTTTTTTTTTTCTTTTTGTGATGTTTTTCCTCTACTCTGGTTCATTCTATTGCTATTTTTTTCCTTTTATTATTCTACGTATCTTGTCAGCCTTCCCAAATTTTCTGTGGGATTAACAGAGTGTATATAAGTAAAGTACCCATCCTTTCTGCACACTCCCTTACTCTTTGCAGCCATCATTAAAACATCCCATGTATGCCTTGAGCTGTGATGAGTTCTGTCCACGGTCACTTGCACTTATATGTGTCCTTGCTATGTGGACTGAATCTTCTTCATGTCTGCATTTCCCATAGCAGATGGAGCAGTATGCTTGCTGTGTAAGCCTTGTACAAATGCTTGTTGTGCACAGTGATGGCTGTGTGCATGCATGAAGACAAACTCTGACTACCTGGCCATAAGCAGTGTTCTGGTTTTCATAAGCAGACAGACATCCACTGGAACAGAGCTTAATGTATCCATTCCAAATATACAATTTTATGAACATATCCAATTAACTTTAGTTCTCACTGATTTGGACATAATGATTAACTATAAGATTGTTTTCTGCTGTATGGGTTACCCCCAACACAATAATAAATTATTAGCTTGTAGAGATAGGTGATTTGGCACGCAGAAGAAAACAATATGCACTGTCAAAGGACTCCCTGTTCAACCTCAGAACTAAGGCTTGTTACAACCTCACATGAGCTAAACTTGGGTGTTGGCAAACATTAAACTTGACAGGCTTTATAAACATTTAGGGGCAGGAGCAAGACACTGATGGAATTAAGATGAAAAATTGACCCAATGCCTGAATAAAGCCCAAACCCAGCCTCCACTCACAACCACTCTGCCCGGGAAGGTCTTTGAGATCAACATGCCAGAGGACAATGGCCCATGAGAAACAAAGTGACATCCCCTTACTAGAATTTGGGGAAGCTGGGCTTACACACGCAGCCTAACTTGGAGTTCCTTAACACTCAAAACAATCTCACGGTATCTTTTCCTAAACTGGGTCCAGGAAGGAAGTAGGCAATACACTCAAAATGAGGACTCTAAGTGCAGTTCATTAAAGGGATGATTTACAAAGGTGTGAGGAGGATTTACGACAGTGACAGATGATGGCTCGGTACCTCAGTGTTGGTAACTGTAGAACTTCCTTAGCACCCTCAGTCTGAAGAGTCAGGCAGAGGGAATGGTTATCAGAACTGAGGAGTGAGCGCGTGGAATGAACACCTGACCTGAGCTGAGGCCTTTAGGAGAAGGACACAGCCTGGGGTGTGCTGGTAAATGTTTAACAACCGGCTCTCTGAAGAAAAATTTAAAAACCCTGATTTGTAGATTGCTGATTTCCATGGTATATATATATATATATATGTCCATCACAATTGATTTCAAGCTACCAATGTGAAGTCACCAAATATGTAGTTAGAAAGAGATGTGTACCTCTGACTCCCAAAAGCTAGTGTAAGCAGGCCCTAGCACACTCTGTGACCCAGCAGGGAAGGAGGCTGGGGAGTAAATATTCTGGCCCATTCTCCTCCTTTCCTCCAGTCACCTAAAGGACCTCTCAGAGGCTGAACCCAAATGGAAACCAAAAGGCAAGGATACTGAGCAGTGCATGCAGTCAGCATCCAGTGTCAAAGCAGATGGGGAAGGTAGAGAGGGGAGATGGACGAGAAGTCGAAAGACAGCCAGCACAGCTCATAGGAGTTCACTTTGGTCTTTTTAGTTTGGATTACAGATAAAGTAGCCATAGTCACTGTGAAGTTCTCAGGAAGACAAGGATCAGGTTACCCAAAGGCTAAGAGCACACACTGAGGATATTCATTTTTGTTTGAAAGAAGGGGTCACAAAGGCCTTAAAAAGGATTCCAAATCCAATTTTTTCACTCACCAACTAAGTCATCCACCTGTTATTCATTGAGCATCTCAAGTGTAGTCCTATGTCAGGTACTGGGGATGCAGAGAAAGACGGGAGACACTGACCCTGAGAACTTTGTAGACTGGTAGGAGGAGGCAAAACTCCAAAATAAAACTTGTGCCATTCCAGCTTTCTGAAAAAATCAAGGGCTTCCCACTGCCCAAGAATAAGCTCTACACGCCTTCCCATGGCCTACAGTGCTCTGTAAGTCTGGCCCCACCTACCTCTCCAACTTCATCTCTTGCTCCCTTCCCCTCACTGCAAAAGTCATCTCAGCCTTTTCCTCATCACTGCCTGACTCCTCCTCAGCATTTAGGTCTCAGCTCAACATCAGCTTCTCAGGGAGGCCTTTGCAGTCTGTCACTTGTCCTCCAGGGAATAATCTCCATATTGTGTGAGGTTGTGTTGAAGCTGGCATCTTGGCAATCTTATTATCTGAATATTCATCAGGAGGCAGCAGTAAGTCTTGTAGAAGGGGCCTGCCAGGAGCTCTCTTCCACTTTGAGTCCAGTTGTAGCGTCACAGGACCTCCAACAGGGGTGCTTTAGTTGAGTTGAGGTGCAGAGTGAGTTGAGCATGGAGCAGTGGGAAGGCTCAGTGGCAGAATATATATGATTGATTTATTGGATTACACTGTGATGCATTGATCTACACTCAAATATAAGACCCAAGACATCAGGGATATTTTCTTGTTCACTCTTTTATCTTTAGCCCATAGTAGGTGCTTAGTGGGTGCTCAATAAATCTTCCATGGATGGATGGATTGATGAATGAATAACTTGTCAGCTTTTCACTTCTAGCCACTGGTCACTACCAGGGAACCTGGTGACTACCTGGACTACAAAAGATATGCACAAAAAGCCACAGGCACGAGAGGGGGAAGAAATTAGATGCCCAGTAGGAGTCGTTATGCACACCACATGGGGAATGCGACTCAGGACCTGCTTCTAATTAATCTTTTCTAAGTAGGAATATGCTTCCACAATATTAAAGGTATCCTAGCAGGAAATAATCAGCTGGAATGTGGCAATAGAAATTTGAGGCAGGACTAGGGGAGTGAGAGTAATGCTTTAGACTTCAGATATTCTTTTGAAATATGTTAATCTGATGAATAGGGAATTTTCAATCTAGTTTCCAGCAAAGAGAATGAGGCCTTCAAGGCCTTTGGGCTTTTACTCATGCTGTTCCCCTGTATGGGATGCCCTTCCTCAATCTCTTTGTCCAATGAACTCTTAGCACATACATATCAAAGCCAGTTCCTTGGTGGAACCATTTTTGAGCACCAGCTTTGTCCTCCCACAGTGCTCATCTCTCCATCCTTGCTGCCCTTTCTTCATTCCAACATGCACCTTCATGGTGCATATCATACCCCAGGCTGCTGGTTTATATATCTCTTTTCCTGATAAATTATCCATCTCTTGAGGTCAGAGGTCCTGCTGCCTTCTTAAGCTTTGTCCCTCATCCAAGGGCCCAATATAGAGCCTTGCACAAAGCAGATGCTCAGTAGACATCTGCTGACTGACTCACTGACAGAAAGGCTGAATAGATGAACAAAAGGGCAACTGAAGAGTGCAAAATAGAGTCGGTAAGTTATTCCATGGGAACTTCTTGAAACACGGAATGAGCAAATATGTGAATGGAAGAATGAGTTCAAAACTGAGCAAATAAATAAGTGCATGAATGCTCTAAAATCATGAATCCCTCTCTCTCAGATTTCAAAACAAATCTGTAGTTTCTACTTCACTTACCACTACTTACCTAGCAATGGGTGCAAACGGGACAAGCAGGGGATGCAGCTTGTGGCTGGTGGTAAATCCCAGGACTTACCCTTTCACCATCTAAGAGCAAATGAGCTCGGAAGATCACAGCATCATTTATGGGCACCTCTTCGTTCCTGTATAAGATCTGAAAGATCCGGCTGTGCACAGTGCTCTCATGGACACAGGCTGAATGCAGGCTGCTGCTGTCTGCAAAACAAGAACCAGTAAGAGCCCATGAACTTCAGTACTGCCCTGTACCTGCAACTTCCTCAGGTGTCTGTGCAGCTTAAGGAAAGAAATGGCCCCAAACTGCATTCCAATGTCCAAAGACTCAAATCACAGACAAATGAGATCCTGCCATATACAGACTTCTGTTCAGTGAATTGGGGTGGCATCTCAGAATAACCTTGTTCAATCCCTTACAAGCCATACGATCTTGGTTAAATCAATTCCCGTGCTGTGGCAGTGGGCAGTGCTGCTTGGCTAGAAATTGGTGTCTGCTAAAGTCCTTAGCTGTTCACATGTCCCCTCCTCTGTGAAGCCTTCCATAATCCCCCTTCCCTGGAAACAGTCACAAGAAGAGATAAAGACAGAAGCTGCCCTTCTTCTACAAGGACTTCCTAGCACCCACAGAATCTCTCTCCCTGAATGCACATCACATACAATATGAGGAACACTCTGTCTTGAGTTTTAGGTAAATGCGCTAATTCTATTTGTACTAGATATCAAGTTGTTTAAGAAACTTGTTCTCCTCTGTGTTCTCCAATGCATTCTAAACATACTTTAATCCTTAAATACTGTTTCAAAGTTAAGTAGAACTTCAGAAAGACAAAGGCTTAAAGGACCTTACTGAAGCCAGTGACCAGGGTTATTATGGATGGCAAATGAGTGAATTCCTCCAAATCACTTAACACATAAACTGCACAGTTGGAATAATATAGAAATATTCTAAAATAAATAATGCTAATACTTATATAAGGCAAAGATTACCTACTCATAATAATGACCAACTATGTGGTAATTTACAGTTTCCAAGGTGCTTTTCAGATGTGTTATTTTCCTTAATCCTCACAGAAAATTGCTAGGGTAAGTTTCACTACAGATGAAGAGACCAAGGTTGAAAGAAGAAGAGCTAGATGTCTCGGTATTTTCTGTATGAGGAGGCATTGTGTGGATTCATCTCCATTGAACAACCAAGAAAAGAAGTCTCAGATGAATGAATACAATGCACCCCTTTCCTAGAAAAGATAGCTACTCTATAAAGCATTACTGAAAGAACGAAATAGCATGCAAAGGGAGTCATGAAAATAACAAGAAAAGTCAGTCCAACCAGCAAAGAAAAAACTGCTCAAGTGCCTTGTGCACTGTCCCCAGATGGCTTAAAGAGTTCTTGGAAACAGGGACAAAGGGTCACTGTCACCCACAATGCACAGTGATACCTAAGCAAACAGCTACCTTGTAGCTTCAGAAGTAGGGAACAAAAGAATGTGAAATCTTAGGTCATTTCCAAGGCTGCTCAGATGTGCCTGCTCTAATTTGCACTTCGTCATGAAGGAAATAAAATTACTGGCCTGATGCAGCCCTCTATAGAACTCTTGGATTCAAATTGATGTGCCTTTTAAGTAGAAGTGATCCTCATGTGCAAATTTTTTTCTGTTTTTATTCGCTGCACCAGCCTTTTCTCTATCACTGTCAAGGTCTGGTTGATCTATAAGCCAGACTGACAACATGAAAGAGGATGGATGGGGTAAACACTCTGAAGGTCAGAGCAACACCAAGCCGTCTAGTACCAGGAGGGACAGCCAGCAAAACAGTTCAATCACTTGCCTTCTTGGGCAAGTGACATCACCCCTTGTAACACTAGCTTTCCATGTGAAAAATGAGCATATCCACACTGACCTCCTATGATTGGTGTAGACATAAAGAGGATAAAATAAACCAAGATCCTAAGACCAGGCATGTACTGGGCATGCAATACTCTGTAGGATGACTTTTTAATTGTGTTTACAGGAAGGTCTGAGCATTTTTTGTTGAATACGTTTATGCTGGCCATATTAATATGGGAGATTAAATTCATCTGATTTTGAGCAGATTGGCAAACTAGATCACAGAACTCAGCAGTATTTACAGAAGATCATCAAATCCCGAGGTGCTCCATTAAACCCAGGATGAGGCATTTCTTATGTCCTGTGGGACTTTCTGTGTCATTGTCTCATCACTATTAAGGAGGTAATAAAACAGGTGTCTTCTTACAAGAGAAGGCTCACTGATCATGAGACACCCTCTGGGACAATGGGTATCACTGAGACAGTGCCTGCCTGCTTTGTTCCCATTGGGATTCCACTTTATTCAATAACCACAATCCACACTTGGACATCCTGTCCATTATCCTTGCTCCTTCTTGCTGGCAGTCTGAGGAGATGCTATTTTCTTCTTCTGGGCAAGGCCACTTCCTGAAGTTTCTAGTACTTGTTCTCATGCTCATTCTTCATGGTCTTCCTTGGCAGACAGAGGGCACTCATTCACATCTCATGCAGCTCACCCTCCCTTTATGCTCAGGCACTGGGCACCCAGAGATGGGAAAGTACATACTCTCTCCACCCTTAAAGATCTTGTTCCTAATTTGGAATGCTGCCCTTTCCTAACCTTGGCATAAAAAGCCACTTTTCTCTTTAGAATATTTGTATTTATTATTTAGCAACCAGATTTCTACTCAAGTGGTCCAATCAGAAGGTAAAAACTAGAGTCTTCCCAAATGTCTGTGTTCTTCTTTGTATGTCAGGAGTGGTACCATGCATAAGTATCTGAAAGGAGAGTTGGAACTATGAGGGGAAACAAGACTGATGGAAAGGAAGAAGGAGGAGGAAGAGAAGGGAAGAGAAAGGAATAAGAGAGGACGGGAAAAGAGAAAAGAGAACAAGGCTGAGGAGGAAAAGGAACTCTTCAATGGCTCCCATTGCCCAAAGGGTACCTCAAACAACTTGATCTGGAATTTCAGGCCAGAAGGCAAGCATGAAATACTTCTTGTTCTGCTGTTTCTTTTCCCAAAAAATGAGTGGTATCAACACTTTGCTTATCTATGTACCTCTAAGTGTTCACAACTCAAACAACGACCTTTCCTTTGCTGAGAGTCCCCAGCAGCTCCAGAGGGCTTTGTAAGCATGGATCAGCAGAAAGTATAGGTGCTTGTTCATCTGATGTGGACCCTCTGCTCCAGAGTCCAACCTACAGCACTCTCATGGACCTTTCTTTGTGGACTGAACCCTACTCCCACTCTAAGAACATGGCTATGGCTCTGCCCGCACATAGGAGCTCCTGAGAGAATTGGGTTTGTGCTAAACAGTCAAAACTCTCAGGGACTCCCTCCAACCCTCCAGGCCTGAGGACAGCTAGGTGAGGCCTGGGCTGTTTGAAAAAGAAGATTCTGAGAAGCTATCCCCGAATGTCTTCAAACCCAGGCCACGATCATATGGAAGAATCCTCCAAACATATTAGAGCTCATGAAGTGGAAAAGCTAAGTTAGATTATGAGCAACTCAAGGTCAGGACCTTGGCTTTCTAATAGTTTAGAACAGGACCTCCTTCAGTAAGGCATAGGTAAGTTCTAGACTTGCCCCACCACTTTCTCACTGTGTGGCCTTGGGTAGGCCATTAAGTCCAAGCTTAGATGAGGCAAGAATCACGCCCTGCCCAATTTACATAATGAACTTAAGGTTCAGATGAGATGAGGAGTAAAGAAGTGTGTGTTTAACTGTAAAATTCTCAAAACTCAAGCAGATTTCCTGGTAAGATGAAGATGATAATGACAATAATTCTTTATACTAGACAATTTTCTGGCTATTTCTAGGAACAGACAGAACAGAGAGTCACCTTGAAGCCATGCTTTATTATTTTTCCTAACCATTTCAAAGAATAGGCAGAATTGAAAGCCACCTTGAAACAGATGTTCACTGTTTTTCCAGAGAATAACCAGAATGATTTCCTGTAACACATAAGAGTTCTCTGGCTGGTAGGGCCAGTGAACACTCATTGCTAGGGTAGAGAGGTATAAACATGACCTTCTGTGATTCAATTAACGCTGATACTTTCCCCAGAGAGCCTATCACAAATGGAACAGTAAGCATAGAGAGAGCAGGAACTCCGGGGAGCAAAGGGACCAAGGTCTTGATGATTTTCTCTGGAGTTTGGAAGTTGAGGAGACCTGTTGGACTAGGCTAGACTTTTTCTGACCTAGGAGGTATTAACATATTAACATTAACTATGGGGATCAGGCAAGGATAACCTGTTCCAGGAATAAAAGTACCTTGAGGAAAGCTGGAGCCAAGGATGATGAATAGTTGCTCACAACTGCCCAAATGTTCATGAGTGGAAGACTGATTTGGTTACATTCTGAACTGGAAGGTTTTGTGGACCCATCTAACTTGGCCTAAAGGTTGTGCTTTGAAGATCAATGGCTGAGTATGTGAATGCCATCTAAAAGGTAATAAGCTGGGGTCCAGAGATGTGGACCCCTAAGACTTGTGCAGCTGCCTGGACCAGCAAGGTCAGCATTGAGATTACAGGCTTCTCAGAACTCTGGAGAACCACCATCAACAGAGCACCTGTTGAGAAGCCCGAGCAGCAAGGGACTGATCAGACCCAGTTCTCTCCTAATCTGGAATTCAGAAAAGAACCTCATTTCATTGTGTATGCCCAGAGTTTCCTGGACAATATGAGATGGGGGAAGTGTGTTGGTGTTTCTACTAAGAGAGCAGTCAGATACGCAAGTGCCTTTGTGAAATGTCTGAAGCGATATGAATGTACTTGTACCTTCAATTTTTGAAGCGCATCGCCTTGGTGACACATCAATAAAGGGCTGTATTTTACTTGTCATTTTTACTGCCATTTGAACAAATATCAAACATTTTTCTTGCTTTCTACTTAAAGTGCCCTACTGTACATAGAATATTGAGTATTTTTCTTTAATGCACATGGATATGAGTTTATGACTTGCCCTTAATCCCAGATTAATATGTTTCTGTGATTTTTGCTAGAAGATATATTCATTTATTCATTAATTTTTTTAATCACCTGCCATGCATCAGGTCCTGGGCAAAACACTGCGATTCAGCAATGAACCATCATATGGTTCCTTATGGGGTGTATCTGTCTCACATATCTGTCCATGGAGTAAGGGATGTGTAGCTCCTTTGTCATTCATCTCCTTGT